CCCCAAAACCCCAAAACCCCAAAACCCCTTAATAAAATTAAGATATTGAAGAGTACGTTCGTTCTATTTCATCCACAATTTTGTTTGAACCCTTGACGCACCAAATTCAAGAGAAAGATTATTTTCTCGAGCATCAAAGGACTATCGGAAAGTATATGGCAATCTCAAGGTAAAGTTAGAATATATTAATGTATAACTGTTGAAATTTTGTTCCATCTTAAATCAGAACTAATTTGCCAATAAAAATCTCAAGATTATGAAGAATAGCACTTGCTTACTAATGAATTCCTAAATGTTTCAAATTAGTGTTCAAAACCCTTGAAATCGTTGCTCGAATCAATCCCAATAATTGCTACAATGGTAAATCTGATCCTTTTCTCACTTTCACCATTTTACCATTTTGTGACTCCGCTTTTCAAATTTTAGCAATAGAAAAGAACAGAAAAGCATTTCACTCACCAATTTCTTAAAATCTTCAGGAAATACCAATACTTAAGGAGCTGTAAGATATTCGAATTAGTAAATTGGGTCTTTCTTTCAGAACACTCACTTTCTGGAAGCCACTTGAATAGTTTACAATTTTAGCAGTTGATTTCATATTTGGCTCTAAATATCAACAGAGAGAGGAATGGAATCTCTGAGGTACCGAATCTATTGCCAAAAATGTTTCTTCTAAAGACATTACGCTCTTTCAGAACCCGGCACAGTAGACTTTAGGGATTGAAACTAAAAGGATGATGCATGGTAACACTCCTGTTAGGCATGTTAAAATAAGAAAGCCCCTATTTGTGCTATAGTCGCTATCCTTTCTAAGTCCGTTAGTTAGACAAATTTGTAGGGTCTCAAATTTTTAAAAATGTGTTAGAAATATGTCTCCAGAATCAAGTTAGTTAAAATTTGCTCCAGCACAAATCATCGCCTCTAACATATTTCCATAAGAAATTGTTCGACCTGGCATGTTCTGGTGCGATGTAAGGTCTATCTAACAAGTGATAGTGTCTGCTAGATAACATTAGCAATACAGAAATGATAATACAAACCTAGAGATGGCTCAGGATTACTTCAGATATTCATTTGAATCAATATTTTTGAGAGTAGTATTTTTGTCAATTTCAAATTTAAAAACTGAGAGATATCAAAGAAAGACATAAACATCATTTTTTTAAACAAATACATGCACTACGCTCCCAAGTCTGATTTCTCTTAAAAATGAGCACGAGTAAAGAAAGTTCAAAGAACGGCCAAAAGCCTAAATTTGGATAAAACTTATCCAATTTTTGTCGGAGATGAATAAGGGCTTTCATCTAAAAAGTAAGATATAGTAAAATTAAGTCATAAAATAGACACAAAGACTTAATTCAAAGCTTTGTTAGCTAGTCACTCACTCATAAAGAATGCTATAAAATTACAAATTTTAGGATAAAATGTTTTAGAAAGTGATGTAATTCTTTCAAAATCAATAACTCAGGAAATCTGAATAGTTCTCATTAGGATTAAAATACCGTCACAAAGAAATCCTGCCAGGTGAGGAGATTCCTGAATCAAATTTATAGCATAAAGCTGTAGGATTCTATAAACAACTCTAGCTTTATAGCCTTCAAAATCTCACTATAACACCAAGCACAATAAGAAGAATAAAAGCTAAACACAACTAGCCACGTATTTTCAGAAGCCATAACTCATAACTCATCTGACCTTTTCAGAAAATGTCAGGAATAAAGGTGTTCAAAATTTGGATATCAGAGTTTTCTCTTCCCAAGCAATCCTATACACTCGGCAGACTTAATAAGAATCGATTAAATGTTATAAGAATTGCTAATTCACTCCCAATTCTCTAACTTGAAGCATTAGTCTTTATCAGAAATGTAGAACTGAAATTATGAAAATAATGCAAGAATCGCGATCTAAAACTCCAATAAAAATAGCACAAGCAGTTTATGTAGTGAGAGCTTTATTGGCGATAGACTTATGAGCCCTTCTGTTGATATTTGATGGAAATACGGGACTGTAGCATTCCGAAATTAGTATTTTACTGTTGAGCATTGATAGAACTTTAATCATAATTTTGTATCCTTATCCTATTTTTTTAAGTATCGAAGCTTGTTGACTCGATTTTAAGTTATGGAATTTAACAATGAAGATAGAATTCTAACAGAATGTAAGTATGGAGAATAAGAGAGCATTATTAAGACTTATAATCTCTGTTTGATATCGAAAGAGGTAAGAGCAATTTGCACTACACTAACTAATCAATCCTTCTCTATACCGATTGAAAAGAATAACAATTCAGACAACTTCAGGAATCTTTCACATACTGCTAATTGGAATATTTTATCCAAAATAAACTCTATTGCCTGAATGAGGCAACATCACAATGAAACAGCTATTTACTGAGTTGGCAATAAACTCTCCTTCAGATACAAAAATTTCGTATCTTAATACAGACTTCCCTGAATCCTACTTCAAACAATGAGAAATGTATTTTTAAACTCAAAGCCTGGCAAATAAGCCAAAATTCAGGCTCAGAATGGCATAACTATTGGCTCAGGTTATTTGTGGCAGCTCTAAATTAATGTGGGCAACTTAGTGCCTAATAAGTTAGCCTTATATCACCTCAGCTAACTCATCTAACATAAAACCCAGAAGAAAGATTGCGTATGGTATAGTTGTTACAAAGAATTAAATAAATTATGATACAAATTTCTTTGTAAAAGTCTCTTTAACAGCTGGCTTTGGCATGAATCCGACCTCTGATTTATCTACAAAATTATTAGGTAAGAAGTTAGCAAGATTACCTCAGACAGAGCTGTCATCAGTTGGCTTAGCCAAGACCTTCTGTGTGCTTGGCTTCTTAGGCTTGATCTTAGCAGACTTTTTCTTTACAGGAGGATTCTCTAAATATAAATTCAGACCTGGCTAATGAAATTCGGAAATTCCAAGATAGCGATTGAAGTCCTGACCAGGAATTTTAAGAGTTGAGAAGATTAATAAATTTGGAGATATCCAATACCTTCATCATGAGCTTCATGATCAAAACTGAGCTTGCTATCTTTGTCTCCTTTCATATGGTCTTCTATCTATTTTAGAATGTTAATCAAATTGTGACATTTTGGAATCAAAGAAATAGGAGAAGATTTCAGTTATTTCCAAATTCAAAAATAAGTATGAACAAAAATTACCATAAATATGAACATCATACAACAAAATCTTTGTCCAATACATAATGTTAAGGCTAACCTGAACATTTTCCTTCCTTTCACCATAATTTCAGGAAGAAATCAGAAATGACAAAGTACAAATCTTACAAATATTAAAACTTCATAATATATTCTACTATTTTTATGTTAAATTTTCAAAAATACTCTTTAAGACTGCATCCTTCCAGTCGAAATGTAGAGTTGAAGATGTACTCACAACCAATAGCTTCTAAGTAAAGCATTTGCCTCTAAGAAGACAGAAACAAGATCTTGAGCACAATACATGTTGGTTGGATGAAGCTCAGCATCCTCTGTTTGACCACTAATGCGTGAATAACTTTATTGAAGTGGTGAGAGCTAAGCTAACAGAGAAAAATTACGAATCCCTCTAATATTACTTTTCAGATCACCTCCCAGTGCAATCGAGGAAGAAGTCTGAAAAGCTTTGTCATCTCTTCTATCTAAGCTTTGATACAATAATTCTAGTATGAAACTCTCTATTTACACTCTAACAATAAATCATTCTTCCACTAAACCCCCTTTTACCTAAACTCTCAAAATCCTCAAAAATCTGTATTCCCCTTAAACCCACTCCCCCTCCAAAATCCCCCAAATGCCTCTCTACACAAACACTGACCTGTTCATCAACTTCATCGGCTTTAATCTTTCAAAATCAGAGCAAGCACACTCCCAAAATGATAACTCAAATAACTCCCATTATGATATAAGGCACTATCATATTGTTTGTTTGGAATTTAATATTAATTTATATAGAATCAGGCTCATAATTTCAATTTAGCAGAAATGAAGGGGTTTTGGGGTTTTGGGGTTTTGGGG